CCCTCGGCAAGTACGGCTACGTACATCGCGGTCACGGAGGTCCGCGACGAAGACATTGGCCAGGGCGTACATCCAGGACAACTCGGGTTTGATGAGCTTAGAACAATGCGTACCGCGCGATCCTCTTCCGCCCGTTCAAGAACGAGGTGCTGGACGCGGTTGTGACGGGTCGAGAAACACCGCTCGGCTTTTTCGCCGAGGTTGGGCCGCTCCAGGTTTTTGTGAGTCGCCACGCCATGTCGACCGATTTGACCGAAGGCTACGACCACGAGAACAGCGCGTGGATATCGCAAGACCGCGAGGTCGAGATCCGCAAGGGCGTCGGCGTCCGCCTCAAGATCATGGGCGTCAGCATCGACGTGACGGAGATCAACGCCATTGGCACGATCAAGGACAACTATTTAGGCGTCATTTCGGCCGACATGTTTTAGCGCCGTCGACAACAACATGCTCCTTCCTCGTTGTACACATGCGTTGTCCTCTTTGCCTCCTATCGCCATGTAGCGCATGCACGGCCGTCTTCGACCTCTGCTCTCCATGCCAGCATGGTGTACCAGCATCGCAATTGCCCCATGCAACACATTGAAATCGCAGGCGAAAGGACGACAACGAGAAGACTATCATATGAAAGATCGTTGCTAGCTGCGCTGCCACGGCCAGCCCGCGCCGAGGCGGCCACGCACGTCTTCCATGGCCCCATCGTCCTCGGAACCCGCGGTGCTAGGCGAGTCGACCCACGTGGCCTTGGCCGATGCGTCAACGTGGGGCTTTGTCGGGCCGACCGAGTTGACGAGCTCGCGGACGTGCTGCATCTGCGAGTTGCCGTACGCGATCGCTTGCTTGACGAGGCGCTCGTCCGTGAGGTCCTTGGCCTCTTCGAACTTGGCACGGATGGTCTTGCGCAGGTCGTTGCGCGCGGGCGGGGCCAAGGGCGCGATCTCGCGCAGGTAGAGCCGGTACTGCTTGAGCACTTGGCTCCGGTTGATGAAGTAGCCAAACGAGAGGAACGGCTTCTTAGCGGCCATCGCGCTGCTTTCCAACTCGCCTGCGCTGCTCGCTCGACGGTCCGCGTCGAATATTATTATTCCGTCTTTCGTCATGGCATGCGATACATAGTCAGGGTATTGCCTGTATTTTTATAGTAAAATAAAAAACGGTTGTCGCGATGCACCGAGATCCGCACACTATTTCCGACCAAACGCCGGGGCCGCCACGAAGCCCCTCGAACGCCGTTTCGAGCGACGTGGTGGTCGCTGTCACCACGCGCAGTACGCTGACCAGAGTAAGCACGGTCTATAGACACCGTTGCTATCGCAGGTATTGTAGGCGCGGCGGGCGTACCATCGACACTACTTTAGCACCCTCCAAGGCGCCGGCATCCACGCTGCCGAGTAGTGAGGCGTGGATCTTGCAGTTCAAGCTACAAGCCACCAGCACAAGCTTGCAGCATCCAAGCTTTGCACTTACAGTGCAATGTCGAATCGTCCAGCTGGCTTCAGAGCTGATTGAGCCGATTGCGAGTTTGCATCCAGGCGAGGGTTCAATATGGCACAACGACGACAGCCACCGCATCGCAGCGTTCATGTGCATGGCTATACCAACCTCTTGGAAGCGTTCTTCGACGAGCGGATGCTCTGCAAGAGAATACACGTTGCTCCTGCAAGGGCATGTCATCCATACAGTATTTGCGTCATATTGGTATCAAATCGTGTGAATGTTCATTTCAAAGAGGGATTAAGCGGAAAGTTCAGTGGACAGAGGGAAATCACTGATTGGTGCTTTGTATGTTGTGCAAATTGGTTGGATGTTGCTTCAAGAGGAAGAGGCCGGTTGGCTGGTGGCAGTCAGAGGGAAATCTACTATCCAACAGGTAACATCGACGTGTACATGGACGACGTGCGATGATGCTCATGCGCTAAGTAGAGACTCCAAGATGGCTATTGAACCCACCCTTGCCGCTTTGGCCAAGAAGACGAACTGCGAAAAGCAGATCTGCCGTGTGTGCTACGCGCGCCTCCCGCCGCGTGCCACCAACTGCCGCAAGAAGAAGTGCGGGCACTCGAACCAGCTCCGCATCAAGAAGAAGATCAAGTAAATGAGTTCGCCCCATTCACTCGACGCTTGCGGCGTCTTGCGCTACAAGACGATCTCTCGTTGCTGTCGGTACGATCGCGCGCCGCGCGTAATATACGACACTGATCTTTTCCCTCGCCTGCCATGTCTACTTCTACCGTCGTTCTCTTGAATCGCATTCAAACGTCCACCATCGACCTGGCATCCACAGGTTCAGCGTCGACCGCCCGCCATTGGCCTTGAAACGGAACCACGAAACCAATGCTATAGGCCACGTCACGACGCATGCAAGATGCGAAAGGCCACAGTGGAGGCCATGATGAGCGGTCGCTCTATCGCTACCTTGCGTGCACGACGATGGGGACTGCGACGAGACGACGTGCCATGACAACCTTGGTACGAGCACTTTGACCCCTGCCAAGGGCCCCATAAAAATCTTTTCACGGACCCTTGCCAAAGCCCAACAGCACTGCCATGACTTGGTGAATTAGCATGTCATAATCGTTTGCAATGCTAGAGCACGGTCTTTCATGAGGCTGCAGGCGATACAACGGCGCTGGTGCTACCTCGCGTGATAGAGAGGCTGGCGGAGCCACGTGCGGACCTGCTCATTGACGCGTCGTCGTGACGCGCACCGCTTCAGCACATGTACTAGCCAGGCGACGTAATCGGGGCAGCTGGCATCCGAGCAAATGCGTCACGATCTCCGGGCGACTGCGTCCTTCGTGCTCTGCGAAAACAATGTAACAACAGGCGTCGATGCCTAGGACGTTGCCTGCATGGTGCGATGAGAGACACTGGTTAATGCTAGTAGTGAGTTGCATTAGGTGGTGTTGCGTTTACATAGCTACTAAAATCCGTCACCGCGAGGCGCGGGTTCCAAGCAGCCACGGCGACGTCGGGTGGAACCATTTAGTTCGAGCCGACAGCGTAGACGCGGACGATACCGTCGGTGTAACCAGCGAAGAGCGAGGCGCCGTCGGCCGACCAGCAGAGCGAGACGCAGTGCGGCGGGAGCGACTTCTTGCCGACGGCCTCGAACTCGGGGACGATCTCGTCGACGACGACCTTGGACTCGAGGTCCCAGATCTTGATGCCCGACGACGTGGCGGCGCAGAGCCAGTAGCGGTTGGGCGAGAAGACGAGGGCGTGGATGATGTCGCCGGCCTCGAGCGTGTAGAGGCGCTTGCCTTCGTTCAAGTCCCAGAGCATGGCGACGCCGTCCTTGCCACCCGAGGCGCAGAGCGACCCATCGGGCGAGACCGTGACCGTGTTGAGGTAGCCGGTGTGGCCGCAGAGGTTGGTGCGGAGCTTGCAGTTGGTCAAGTTCCAGACCTTAACGAGGCGGTCCCAGCCGCACGAAACGATGAGCGGGTTGGCCGACGACGGCGAGAAGCGGACGCACGAGACCCACTCGG